TTTAAATTTTAATATATTTGGCGGAAATAAACGATTCTAAACCTTATATCTGTACATCATTACTAATATTATAAAGAGGAAAGATTTGTATTTTTGTATGAATTGAAAACACAAAAACTACTGCGCCGATCTCAAAAATTAATTAAACATTAAAAAGCTAAGTTTATAGTAAGTAACATAGGCTATGTTTTTAATTATTACTAATTTCATCAAGCAAAGTTGCGAGCAACAGTTAGTGTTGAAATATGACACAAATAGTATCGCCGTCTTCTATTTAGCTTTATAGATAGTCTTTTAGTGTGCAAAGTTCACGTTTTGATTTTGAACAGGATATAAAATATAATAATATTTGCAGGTGATATCAAAGATGTCTCACTTCGACGAGTCGAGCAACGGCACGTTCGCCTACACGTTCCGCTCGCACTTCGGCGACCCCGACCACCTCGTGTACTTCCCCTCATCCAGCTTCGGCATCGACGCCAACAGGACGTTCGAGTATGTTATCCTAATATAAACGTATGGGAGGGAGGGATGAATCGCATGTAACAAGACCAGCGTTAGTTATGAATGTAGAAGGGTACACCTAGAAAGAGATGGATGGATTTTGTGAAAGGTGACAATCAAGAAGGGAGTGATGATGGATGATAAGAGTTATTTGGAGACCGAAAATCCGGTACCCCGTTCCCATGGGAGCTTAATGTAAACTTATTGGAATCATAATAAACCTAACAATTTGATTATCAAACAACGTCAAAAAAAATCTAGAATTAAAATTTGTGTATTTATAGATTTTCAATTAAGTGCAACGTTGCTTCCAATACATAGAAATGTACATTAAGGGTAATACTTTAGGCCATCAATAATAATTTGTACAGATATAAATGTATGTTGGTGTATCAGATACGCAGGGCTGGTGGTGTTCAGCGACGTGGCGGTGACGCGGCGGCACAGCGTGTGCAACGCGTCGCTGGGGCTGGCGGAGTGCCTGGACGGCGGCTGCTACCCGCGCGACAAGCACTGCGACGGCATGCCCGACTGCGCCGACCGCACTGACGAGGCCACTTGTACGTGCTATCGCTTCATTATCATAAAAACTTATATGCTGCAGCCAGGACTTGTAACAGTTCCAATTTATTTTACTTTGCCCGCGTTAAATTAAAAAAAATGTTGAAAAGTATAGCTTATGTTACTCAGTGATAACGTAGTTAATGTTGAAAGAATTTTTAAAATCTCCCCAGTAGTTTTTGAGATATTACAATACAACAATCCAAAAATACAAGTCTTTTCTCTTTATAATATTAGTATAGATAAAGGAAAATGTTGCCATTTACAGTTATGGCAGAAGAAATCATTTAAAATTATTTCCCCGCATAACAATATTTCAGAAATTTTATTCGTTTTGTAAAAATTACGATAAATTACGTTGAAAACTAAACGGTAATTTCGTCTCATATATATAAAATATGTTTAATTGCATAAGATTAGAATTTTTACAAGATTTAGGTATTATTTTAGTCGGTGTATT